TGGGGACACAGCGAGCAGATTTTTCGGTGCTCTCAGGCCCTCCCGTTGTGGGAGAATCTCCCCTAGCTCCGGAGGCAAGGGGGGGGCTAGCTGGGACCAAGCAATTTGGAAACCTCCCTCCCCCATTGAAGGAACGGCCCTCTCGCCAGGCGCAGCCCTTAACCGCACTTTTTTTTCCCTCTTTTGTTCACGCTAGCAAGGTCTGCAGCAAAAGCAGAACGTGGGGACACGCTTCGCAGGCGGCTGCTGAAGTGCCACGTTGGTTGTCAATACACGTGCGCTTTATTGGTGTCCTGGCCTCCAGGTTTGTGACCAAAGGCCATTTTGATTCCTACCTGTGCTTTTTTTAGCAGATCAGTAATAACAGGAAACCAATCGGGAGTCAACCTCTCCAGCTCTAAGGTGATGATCACCAAAGCCAACGTGGAGCCCTTAAACTGCAGTAGTTGGTGGCATGCCATACAGTGCTGTAGCTGTTTGGTCAAGAGCGCGACGTGGCGGGAAGGATTCGTCTGAGGCAGCTCATGTAGTAGATGGGGCCAGTTGGACATCACCATGACATGGAACTGGAGAGAAGATAAATATGTATATTAAGGAAAACAAAACAAAAAAAAAGCAGAGGTCAGTGGACTTTGTATGTTTTCATATGTACAGACTAATTTCATCTCATACCAGGAAACCTAAAGGGTTCCCCTCCCCCCCCCCCCTTTTTTTTTTGTGTTTTGTGTTCGTACTTGCCAACCATTGAACTGTTTTTCTGAGTTTATGATGAATGTACAAGGTCTGTGTTTCCTAACAATTTCTGAAGTTTCTACGTGATCCAGGTTGCTATCCAGGAGATTCCATTCAGGCCAGCAGATACAAATAGAGTAAAACCAGTAGTAATGACTGCACTCTGAATTTACTGAGGAAACAAGCACCTAAGAAAGGCAGTTTTCACAATCAGCAGCCGAAGACGGCTTAATATTTGCACATAACCTTAAAAAAGGGATCGAGGATGTGTTCGTATCACATGATTTTTGCCTTACTAGCACATGATCATTTCTTGAAGACAAAGTTTAATTGTTCCTATCAAATGTTTAGTAACAGCAATGTGAACTAAGTGCCAGATTGGGGTAGTCTCATTGCCTAAAACAAGGGTGAATAATTAGTGGGATGAAAAGGAAAATGGTTTAAGAAAAAACCTGTGTGTGACATGTAGCAAAACTCTGACAGCTTTCTATGTACAGTATTAATAGAAGGGAAATAGTTAGAAATATTTTTGCAGTGTGTATTTAAAAAAATAAAAATGGCATATAGTTGTGCATTATGAGAATCTTTTTAATGTCCGTTTTAGTTGTTCTTTAAAGATGGGAGTAAATTTTTTGAGCAAAATGAAAGGTTTTAAATAGTAGAAAATTTAAAAATACATAAAAAAAATCACTGTAACATTCTTCAGAAGACTTGCGGATAGCTAAGAACAGGTAGTTTGCAAAGCATCTTTTGGGAAGGATGTGTGGGGGCGTGTATGTGTGTGCATCTGTGTTTTCTAGTCTTATTTGACAAGGAGCTGTTTCTTTAAAGAAAAAAATTTGCAAAACTTAGTGCTTACAATGTTTAAGAAATCCATTGGTGTTGCTGTGTAAAGATCCCAGTGAAGCTTATCTAGTATAATTCTTTCCATTCTCAAGATCTCAGCTGGTGAGCGTTTACAACCACTCTGCACTGCGAGCATCTTCACCGATGGTATTACCTGTAAAAAAATTAAAAAAAAAATAATTAAAAATAATAAAGAAGCCAACGTCCTCCACAGTGCTGTGTGTGTTTCTTTATATTGTGCGGGGATCTGGCAAGGTCATAGGGATCCCAAAGCGCTAAGCAGAACGCTCGTTCAGGAGACCGCTTTCCTAGGTAACTCCCATCGTAAACGAAGACTGGCCCATGCTTGCCACAGGGCCGCTGGCTACGAACCCAGCCCACGGCAAGAACGACACTGTTCACCTCCCGTGTCTCTGTGACCCTCCTTAACGCTGCATCGGTGATGCACGTTCCCTGCTCCCAGTCCCGTTAGTTTTGCTCCTCTGACAAGCTCGGAGGAGGCTCCCTGTTGGCCTGTTTTACGGGGCCTTCTGCGGTTCTCTTGTTTCCTGCGGTCATTGACTCAGCTTCTTCTTTTTAGCTGAGAGGAAAAGAAGAATAACCTCAGCGTGACACATCCTAAGAAAGGCTGCGAAGAGCACTTCACTACAGCAGAGGGTGTTTGAAGAGACATGCATGTCTGACTCCAACTCCTAGGTGTCCTGTTCTTTTTCAAAATGGAATGAAGGAAAGAGGAGAAATGCAATCTGAAATGCTCTTGGCTAATGTTTGTGAATGCCTGAAGAAGTCTGTCCGTGCACTTCTGCCATGAGAGATTATCCTGTGCAATCTCACACTTCCCTGGGTAGTTGCTGGTTTTACATGCTCACCTTGAGGTGCAAACCTGAGTCATTTCCTCACCAGGTTCAGAAACCAGTTTCGCCTCATCTATTTTAAGCTTCCTCTGAAGAACCTTTGGTCTGTCTCGCCTACCTTACCCTCCCAGGACCTGTAACAATGGGATTACAGCACTCTGATGTTGTGCGCACAAAGCTCTGCGTGTGCATCTTGGCTGTCCCCCCAGGCTAAGCTTTACTGGGAGACGTGGATTCTGAAGAGAGGAGAGTGGTTTAAGGGCAGGAGGAGGGAAACACATCCATTACATAAGCAAACACAAGTCCTTCATCCATGAAGGTCACAGTTCTTCCAAGCAACGATGAACAGGACTGAAAATGTTACTGCCACCCCTTAAGGACTACTTGGGGTAAACAAAAAACACTTCCTCTTTATGCCCAAGGTGTTGAAAGACCTGGAAACACAAACAACTTGAACACAAGAGCTGAGTTTAGTGTGTTTACAATTAAACATACAGACCTCATCTTCTTCATTGGTTTTTGCCGCAAGGACAAGGCAGGAAATTGCTATGCACTGAAGATATTTCAATTGGGCCTGAAGGGAGAAGAAGAAGAAAACACTGAGTAAAGAAGGTAAGTGTCTTGCAGGAAATAATTGTCGTTCTACAACAGATGCACAAGTTTCAAACTTTCATTTAAGTTACGGTTGCTTCTGAATTAGGTTAACTGCAGAAAGATTCATTTCAAGCTGGAAACAGAGCAAGGAAATCCAAAGTGAAACAAAATAAATCCTCCTCTTGGTGCAATTTTTATTCACGTATCCCACAATTTTTAGACTTTGCAATGCCCTGGTATTTACAATGCCACGGTATTTACAGTGCCACGTTATCCCTCTTCTCGGCTGAGATATTAATTAATGCGCTTTGCCAAATGCCAGCATCAATCTAAAGAGAATTGAGAGCTACAAGGCTCAGTTCAACTCATAACTTTAATGTTGCTTCAATGGCAGAAAAAGTTGGCCCCATGGCTTGGTTAAAAATAGTGGTTTCAGAACTAAAATATTAAAAGTGATAATGCAAATGTTTTCTGTTTAGCAGAGACAACCAGATGATAAGGGGTTCTTTGTACTTACCACAGCATTTGGACTACAATTCACACAAACACTTCTACCGAGGACTGTACATCAGTGGAACCTCATCAAACACTCAAGTTCATGTATATGTAAAGCCTTCCCCAGCAAAGACCCTGACTGCTCCCTAAATCTGCTGCCAAACATAGTACCTGCTTTGTGCATAAACTGATTACACACTCCTTACATCCCCAATCAGTAATCTAGCCAGGAAGACGCTGACAGAGATTCTCTACCTTTACTGACGCCAATAACCGGTTAAAGATGCCGGTAGCCAAGGCAAATGTTTCAGGGTAGAACTGGAACTGAGCGCTTATTTCTGCAATCCAGAGAACCGCTTTCTTGTAACACGACGGAGAGATATCTGTGCCCTGAGGGGAAGAAAAATTTAGAAGAAAAATACAGTTAAGTGCTTTGATGATCTTGTTAACATGAAGAAAAATTTAGAAGAAAAATACAGTTAGTGCTTTGATGATCTTGTTAACACATCTCCAAAGGAGGACTCAAATCATTCTACGAAGTGCTCTGATTAACATTGCAGATGTCTGGAGGCTTGGAATGAAGAAAGTTGTTGGCTGTGTCTACAGAGTGAGGGCAAGGGCAAATTTCAGAGCAGTTTAAAGCACTCATTCACGTTGCCCACCCAGTCAGGCTCTGGCTGTGCTTACAAGGGCAGACAGCTGTACGGAATGGGGAAGCACCCAGCCCTCCCCTTGCACAGCGCGTGTGAACCACCGAACCGAGCTCTTCCGGACAAGGTGCTGAGCGTGCTCATCCTTTCCCCCTCCTGAGAAAACCAGGGCCTCCGATGCAGCACGTGTTTCATTCAGACAGCCTCGACAGGGAGGGAGAAACGGGAGTCACGAGCAGGTTTTGATTTACTCTTCAAGATTTCTTTTTTAACGGCCCTCGAATTTGCTTAGCGTTGGCACCACAGAAGTCAGGTTTATGAGTCCCCCAAGGCACAAGGCAAAAGGTACTCATTTTTTTTCTTTCTTATATCTTATTTGAAGGTGCATTCAGGTGAGAAGGACTTCACTCTGCCTGCCATTACAACGCCACACATGACCCATGGCACGCATTTGAACATTACTGTAGGAGAACTGAAAGGGCCAAGCAGCTACGCAGAACAGACAACATTTGCCACCCATTCGTTTAATATTACTCATCACACTATCCGCTTCACTATTTTCCTTCATTTGGTAGTAAAAACGCTTGGTAAAAAATAGCTTTTCCTCACTATTGCAAAAAAGAGACAAGGCTGGCAGGGCACTTTGTGCATTCTTCCATGGGTCTGATGCGCTTTACAGAAGCAGCTGCGCGTGACTTTCCATTGTACCCGGAGGCCATTAAGTGGTGTACCTTCCTGAGGTAGCAGACTGGCTCGCTTTAGCAGCTGGGAACGGGGCTGGGTTTCTGTTAGGCCTCAATGAATTCCCTCTTCTCCCATCCGAATAGATGGGACTCCAAGACGGTGTCGAGGACCGTTAACTCTAACGTGACATATGTATGGCTTTACCATGGATTGTGTGCTCTCACCTGCTGCACCACATTTCCCAAAACTACTTGAGTCAAGACAAAGTGCAAAGCACCTGGTTTACATAGGGCATTAATAAGATGTAAGATGGGACAAATACAGACCCTCCTCCCCCTCCGTTCCCTAAGCATGATGGACTGACTTCTGCATCCAGGTGGATTAGATGGCAGGACCGGCACTGCGTCACTGCAGAGTCCCATAGGGACTTCCAAAGAGGACAGGGGAGAATACCTTCAGGGTGAGATTCTGGAAAACTGGCACTTTCCAAATCCTAGCCTCTCTGGCTAAGGCATTTTCAAGAAAGAAGGCAAGTCTCGAGCTCTCTGGAGGTCCAGGGCACTTCTTAGCAACTCTTTGAGCCAGTTTCCCTGATGGGAGACGCTGTCAAAAACCAAGAAAAGAATTATAAAGCAACATCCCAGCTCCTTGTACTAAGTATGATTCCCTCTCATGATGCCTTTCTAACGCTGCGAACTAAGTCAGGAGCAGCCGTACGACTTGTTTGTTTGCAGGCCGAGCAATCCTGTCATCGCTTTCCCCGAGAGGAAGACCGTGATGAAAGAAAACGTCAGATGGCCAAACAACAGTGCAGTCCAGCTATTTTTCTCCCGGGCTGTGTAAAGGCTTACCGGAGTAACCTTGGGTCGAGAAGTATGGATTACTCCGTTTATCTTTCACGCATTCAGCCCTCCGTTTGCAAAGCTATTAGGTTGCAACCCATTACCACCTGATTTCAGGTTTCTGGCAAACAGACATCTATTTTTTCTGTACAAAAGCTCAAAGGTGACTTGTTCTTAGGAGGTTTATTAATTCCCAGTTAACAGTTTTTCTTAAAGCAGTTTGATCTTTCTCTGTTGCCGTTGAAGGCACGCAACAGCAAGACTCTGGACATGCCGCTCTCCGGACTAAGCATGTATTTACATGAAATAAATCTCTCTGAATAATACCAGGTAAGAACCAAGGAGGGAGAACATCTCCGCCTGAAACTGAGTGTTTCACTGCTGACATTTTAACAGCAGAAAGGAGACATTACTGGGTACAAAATTTCTGCTTTTCTTTGTAAAGAGCGGTGGATGTGGGCTTCCTGATCAGTGTTTGCTGGCAGCTCACGCCATTATCTTTACAGTTCCATTAAAAACCCCAAAGTGACACGAATCCTCTGGAAACCGCTCCACATTTCTAAAGCTGAAACTCCGCGAGGTGCGCGTTTTCCTGAGAGCAGGAATCCCGTCCGGCTTTGGCTGTCGCCGCCACTGGATGTCAGAGCACCCGCACCGGACCCCCTCGGCAGGAGGAGAGCTGGAAGAGATCCCTCTGCCCAGCCTGATGCGCGGAGAAGTCTATCCTGCCCAGGCTGGGGGCGAGGGGAAGGTTCATCCCCT